AAAGTCACCAAAGTGTAAATTTCCTATATAATGAATAATAACATCGATGGTAATGATTGGACGGGATTGTCTATTTGACCCAAAGTATGTATGTACTTTAATGATATCTGTAATTGAACTGTAAAGGATCACTTGATGATTTTCCACGGAAAACAACGAGAAATGTTATATCGTCCTTCGAGGGTATCTCCCCACTAAATAATAATTTCCAATTTTATTGTGGAACACGTACCTAGACTGCCTATAACATTGTTAATGGTAAAGTTGTAACATAAAATGAATGCATCACCAAATGACATTTCACAACATCAGATTTATACTAATATTTGTTCACACATGTGCACAAGGTGTTAAATTCAATGACAACTCTGAGCTAGCTTGTCATCATCCATGTTCATTTTAAGATATTTTTATTTAATTACATATATAATTGTGCTTTCCTTGTATTGTATTTAAGAAGAATTTAACACATGTTTGGTCATCTTTCGGCGGTATACTAATCCAATAAGATTTTTGAATTAGTGATGGGAGAAACATAAAGATAAGACCCAATTTCTAAGATCCTTTGACACGGGGAAATTTCTCCTACCAGCGCCCTCCATATAACCAACTGTTACTCTCTCTAGTAAGCTAGGAGAAGCGTGCGGACTCTTATTAGAAAGGGCAAAAGGGTTTAACTTTGTAAACAATAGGGTTAAACCTGCATACATTAAAGTATGTTATGACAGCATACGCAAGAAATTAGAAATGAATCAATGTATCGAACATCTTTCTTTAAACGTTTTGATTAAATATTATCAAGCTTGTGACCCTTGATGTATAAAATAAGTTTCAAGAGAGTCAGAATTATTTAAGTACATGCTGAAATTTAGGATCATGGGGGGATCAAAAGGGTCGTAAATTTGTCAGAAATATAATGAAGCGTTGTAGGCCTGGTGAACTTGTTTGCGACTTTTCATATACATTTCAAAGATCCTGTAACTCATTTTTTCAATATTTTTTTTGTTTAATATCATAAATATAATGCTAAAATGGCGATTTATCAATATTGTAAGTTCAAAAAGCATTATTTGTAAAGATAATACCGAATTTACATTTTATTTTAATAAATGGAGGTAATTAGAAATTTATTTTTTATAAAGTCTTAGTTTAATTTTTTAATAAGAAATGATTGCATCCATTTTAATGATTACATATAATAATGACAAATATTTGCAGTACATATATTACATATTCTTCGAGGTTTGAAAATTGTTTTAGAAGCTTAATTGAATTATATACATATATTAAATTCCACTTAAGTTTGGTAACATCTCTCCTCTTCTCCCCTCGGTACGTGTTTGTCGTTGAGAAGACACAGGGCATCGGCAGAAGATTTGAAGACTGGGGACGGCGAAAAAGATCGGAACTTGTTCTGTGGACCAGCTGCGTGGTCCTCTCTGCAGCCGATGGGAGTGGTCCTAAAAAGTAGGTTTTGGGTCGACGAGGATGGTGTGCTATGGTGTGTACGTCACTTGCACAGTTTGACGGCTTGAACGACAGGCCTTTTGCTGGCACCACCAGCCCTTTTTGAGGCTACCCTTTCATATTGTTTCAGGTTACTTTACATTTTAAATTCTCACTGACCGCCGTACAGTGGCCTACTTTTGGCTCAATGTTCATATCTTTGGCTAATACTCCGTGGAAAGTGCATGTAGGTAAATTATCACCACTTTGTGCTTCAAAATTAACTCTTTAAAGGCATGACTGGTGACGTGTCCAGGGTCTGTACTCGACAGCGAAAGCTGCATTTTGTGCCCTTACGGGCGGATGGACCATCATTAAGCATTAACTACATACATACATGGTATATAACCTCAATTACAACATACAGGATCTTTAAGTTTCAAGTCAATATCTTTCCTAATTTCAAAGATATAATGGTAAATGCAAATATTAAAAGCAGTAAATACATATTCTCGATTCAAAATAACTATAGGAAGTGTTTTAAAAGCGATTGTAGTAACACATTGGTACGAAGACAAGACATTCCCGTCTGACAGAAAACAAACAAAAAAACTTTGTAAATTCCCGCCCCAAAAACTTTAAAATGTTAGAAAATATCGCCTATCAAACCGGTAATTTAAAACGATGTTCCAATATACATGTAAGTACATGACTACACGACTTTACAATAAAAAGTATTTAAGATTTTGTTTGCCCTGTGGGTATATTTTACATCAGCCAGGTAATAGAAATTTGCCGTATCAAGAATTTGCAATGTCACGTGTTTTAAGCAATTAAAAGAAATGTATGTTTCTACATTGGTTTTGCTTGATGAGCCATGGACTTAAGATTAGTAAATATATTTTCATGTTGTTTTTTTCTTCACATGATTTTATGACTCAACTATATTAAATAATACTACATGTTGGATATGTAATCCATTTACAGCCCGACACTAAACCTTTCAATTTTGTTTACACCTGACGTGCCAAGATGTAGATTTTATGGTTGGTAGGTATGAAAGCCTATGGTGGTATATTTCTGCCACCAGATAACCTGATAACTTACTAGTTAATTAAGAGGTTAACTAGTTACGTAACTAGTTAACCTCTTAATTAACTAGTTAGTTATCAGGTTAACTAGTTACGTAACTAGTTAATTTTTTCAATAAATAAAAGATCATAACGGGAAATAAATGCATGTTGTATCATAGTTTGGGGACCTTTCTGTTGAAAATGTGTCAGGGTTAAATCGTATACATATACATGCACAGTGCGTTAACTGGAGTGCGGGTATTAGTTACCCGCACTCCAGAGCATGCCCATTGATTGGCTCATTTTTGCTGGGGTTTACATATTGTGACGGCAGAGAAAGGGAAAGCGACAGAAATATCATATTCAGATGTTCGTTCATTGGTTCATTTTTGCCGGGGTTTCATATTGTGACAACAGGGAACGTGTTTTTATGTTTGACTATGATACAAAAGAGAAAGAACACGAACACACTCGGTAATCTGATTAATACTCGGGGGCTACGCCCTCTCGTACAAATCAGATAACCTCGTGTTTCGGTGCTCCTTCTATTACTTAGTGCCTGCAACTGCCATTCTTTTATTATATTATCAGCTTAAAATTAAGAGGTTAACTTGTTACGTAACTAGTTAACCTCTTAATTAACTATTTAATTTATAGGTTAACTAGTTACGTAAATACCTAACTAGTTAACCTCTTAATACCTAGTTAGTTAAGAGGTTAACTAGTTACGTAAATACCTAACTAGTTAACCTGTTAATTAACTAGTTAATTAAGAGGTTAACTAGTTACGTTTTTACGTAACTAGTTTACCTCTTAACTAACTAGTTTATTAATAGGTTAACTAGTTACGTAATTAGTTAACCCGTTATCACTTATCTATAAATAGATATTGCATAATATTTGGAATACCCGTACTGTCCGCTTATGCGCGGGGTATAACTAAAATACAAAAATAGGGTTATTTTCGCGAAAATAGCATTTTGGCATGAGCGGCAAGATATTCCCTTGTTTATTGCACGTGTCTCACAGCATCGGGTCAATTTCCTGTGTATCTGTTTATTTGTCCAGAGCCTTTGAAAGTTAAGACTTTCATTGTCTGACTAATACATATCCAATTTTTATATAAACAATATACATTCCTAAATGGAACGTAATCGGGCCTAAAAGTAATCAATTGTACTGACCCATAAAAATGCATGATATAAAACATAAACTAATCAAAGGGTCTATCGATGTATCTTATTATAACCACCAACCCTGTGGCACCTGTCCATTTAGATATAAAAAGTATTGATAAATTACTTTACAACATTCCATGTACTCGTCAATACACAAATCATTACCTAAACAGGAAGGTATACAAATACATCAAGAAATGAATAATGTTGTAAATCATGCAATGTTATATTTGTTTGTAACAAAATATCTTTCTCTTTTAGTATGTCCAAACACATAGGACTAAAAAAACTTTTAAAAAAACACACAACATAGTTTGTCAATAATAAAAAAGACACTTTAAGTATATCAAATCTTAGTAATATTACGTAACTGCTATATTGCTAAACACATCTCGGTGAAGCATAATACTTTATTTACAAAGAGCATTAAATTAAAACTTGTAATTATGTAAAATAAATGTTGCTATACACATTGTACTCTTTTATGCAACTAAAGATTGGAATGAAGGGACCAATCCGAAACTGACACTTTTACATCCATGAATTGGCAACACGTGCGACACGTGTCATAAAGGGGCTTCATAACACCTTTATTTTAGGTATTTCTGATATTGCAGTCGAGTTTACTGCACAAACGTCAAACTTTATTACACACATTGAGAAATTAATGACAAATAAAAAAACAGTAAATCATCATCTTCGACAGGTATCAGGAGCATAGATCAGGATGATATCGATAGGCCCGGTATCAAATGTTCACAAATGCTCTCCTGGATGCGTGTTTAAATTATATTATTGATTAAAAATGCCTTATGGCACATTTGTGCAATAACCTATTTTTTGTGTTTTTTGATATATTCATTATATGCTTACGATTTTATATGAATCGTGCGTGTTTAAATGATACCAGTAATTAAACATAGTTATTGCATGCACATCTTGATTTGTGCAATGCCCTATGTATTTTGTGTAAGAGTTCGCTATTATTTGTTAGTGTTGCTAGTTTTGGCTATCTTAAGTTGCAATTTAAAGATATGACAGTAAACGATCTTAAATAGTTGTTTGAATTACTTTATACATTTACTTGTATGTTAAAATACAACATTGAATAAAATGTATTTTGCATTCATTTTCTGTTTTTTTTTTGTGTTTTTTTTTACTTCTTTCTTTAAATTCAAAGATATATATTTTATACAAATTTAATTGTGTTTTGGTACAATTATTGCTTTACAACTCAAAATATTTTACAATCAAGGTAAAATAGAACATAATAGCATCATCATTATCCGACAATGATACCTTCAAAAGGGGATGAAAAGCGAGTCATGTCAGAATGAGATTAGTGATCTGAAACATTGCGGTAGCACTCAATCCAGTATCTGACCCATTCTCATATAGAATTGCCAATATGTGTCGCCAGCCTTTAAAGGTCCAAAACACAAGTTGATGTAAGTTTGTCTGTAACAAACATCTTCTTTCCGATAGAAAGGTCAATTCCAGATAAGATTTTTTTTTATAGTGATTATAAAAACTTTCGCAAAAAATGCGACTTCTGGAATAGCCCTAGGATCCGCAGTTCGTATCATGATTTATGTCGCCAAACATTTCTTTTATACTTTTTAGGTTATTAAAATATTGATTTACGAGTATTTTGAAAAAGAAATGTATCAATTTACAATATTCAGTGACCTTATTTGAATAAAGTAATAAAAATATTTGTTTTTTTTTCTTTCTAGATTTGTGTATTTCACCTTCACATTATTTCTGTCGCTAAATGGGATATTATTTACGAGTCCAAATTCAAAAACCATATTATAGACGTGGGAAATATATTTGTATTTACTACAGTTTGTGAAGGCAATCCGGATCAATATAAATATTTCGCTATCATATTAATATTAAATATGTAATTTAAAAAAAAAATGTTTTTGTGTTTTTGTTTTGGCTAGTCGGTGTTATCACGTGATATGACCGAGGTAGGTGTATAGCTTAATTATCTCACCTAATTAGGATATGCCTTTGTAGTGCAGCGAGTGAGCCTACAATTTTGGCGATGCGGGTTCGAACCCGGTATCCGACACATAATTTTACATAACATTTATGATATCAAAGCGTAACTAACACATTCTATTGGATAATTGTCCTGAGATTCGTTACAGAAAAAAAACTTGTTTGGTGCCAGTCTGTGGCACAGTCCTTTTAATACTTCCTCGTGTTTTTCTTGGCAAAATTTAATACATTCTTCCAAACCAAAATGCAGCAATTCTCAAGACATGATAACATGAGAAATTGACCTTAGCTTCTCGGTCAATAAGGGGTTAATGTGTAGTGGAAAAATTGGCTGGTATTTCTTGGCATGATTGTTACGCTGTTCATCCGTGATCACGGATGAACAGCGTACACATCGTCGAGCTAGTTGGAAATTGGATTGGATCTACTATTTCTTTTAATTCTTCCTAAGTACACACTGTTAGATGACAAACAACACACACAGACAACTCTCAAATTATGTAGAGAAACGCTCCAGATCAACAGTAAACAGTACTTTTTCTACTTTACAATACTCTTCATTTTTACAAGCAGTCAGCATAAGCAGTTATTGCAATGAACATTTCCGTGGCTTCAAGTCTGTTTCTAGCAGTACCCATATCGAACTCTGTCAATACGTTCCTGGCTAAAATTAAAAATTCTTCATATCACCATTCTGTGATGGATTCTCACAAAACCTTTCTCTGACTTCTTGCAAACCATTTGCCAATGGAACTTTAAAATCCCCAGCACCGTACAGTTCCGGCTGGTAAAACAAAACGTCCGGTTTGCCAGCTGGACTTTCAGCAAAACGACACTGCCTAACCCGATGTGAGTTCCACACACCAATAACATCATTGAGATTTTTTCTTATTAGAGTAAAATAGCAATATCTAACACATTCCAGGTGAAGGTTATCCGTGGTATCTAGGATCCCCATGTCACACATATCCTTAAAAAAATTCATCCATGTGTTCCCACACATGTCCCGTAATGTCCTCCAAAATCGTTCTATCCTTACATGCCTGGTGGACGACACATACACAAAATTGCTATACCCCAAATACTGATGCGGGTCCATCGAATGCAAAGCATGTTGTATATCACGGACAGTAACATTTTCTGCACCTCGATCAGCGTACACGCGCAGCGGCAAGCCTTGAATTTCTTCAACATACAAATAAAAGTGACCAATATACTGAGGCTTTTTGTTTGAGTTACAACATTTCAACCACAACAGTCGTCGGGAAAACCCGTCAATACCACCATGCATTGACACGCCATATGGTTTTAACTTATCCCATCCATCGAAATGTATAGCAAAGTTAGGGCCAGCATTTCTATAAACACGACGTCTTAGTGTTTTAGACTGTTTAAGCATTACACCACTTGGGTCTATTACACTAAGTGCAAGCCTTACAGTTTCACAAGTTGCGACTATACCATGATGTACCAAAAGTCTCTGTCTCATTTGACGATATCCAGCATTCTGTCCGGTTCCGGAAAGTTCCAGTAAAATTGCCTCAACAACATCTGGTAACCCGCTTTGGTTTTGACGCCTGTATAGTCCCTGGCTTCTCAAAATCCTATGTACTGTTCGTTCACTCAATATAGTATCGTATTGTAAGCTCATAAAACCAACAATCTCCTTGATTGTGAATCCCTTGTGATAGTACATAGCAACCCTCTCCTCCCTGGTTATAGCATCAGCTTGCATCTGAGTAAAAAATAAAATACAGATAGGCAGGGGGGGAATGTGGACATACAGATGAACAAGTTTGTTTGTTTGTTTCTTTTTACGCCTTTTCCAAACAGTATTTCAGTCATATAGGCGGGTAATTTCGTAACCATCGTTCCTGGAGAGTTACACCAGTACTAGACTACCTTCCTCCGCGCTTTTCTACCAAAGCATCTCCCAGGGTTCGAACCCATGCCAGAGAGGTTACTGAATTAGAAGTCATCGACTCTAACCCCTCGATCACGGAGGCGGTTATACAGATGAACAAATGTAGTAAATATATTTTAAATGGTGTAAAGTCAGGAATATTTTTAACATACTTTACTTCAATATCTTTCTTAACAGACCGGAGAATTTAAAATCGGGTTGTTCCCTCGAAGTTTAGGCTCGGTCTCCTGCGACCTCGAGGGATCGCAGTTTTACTGTACCAGGAACCTTATTCACACAGCATCCTATGAATGAAAATAAATTTGTGACTGTACTATAGAAAATATTTATTGTAAATATATTTTATCAATAACAAACATTAGAATCATTATATGTCTGTTAAAGTTAAAAATATTTACCTCTATTTCGCCTCCAAACACAAATGTAGTTTCCTTCTAATGTCTGCAATGACTAAAGTGGGACTGTGTATCAATGCAATGGAGCAAAACTATGCTATTTATAGATAAGTGATAACGGGTTAACTAGTTACGTAACTAGTTAACCTCTAAATTAACTAGTTAATTAATAGGTTTACTAGTTAGGTATTTACGTAACTAGTTAACCGCTTAACTAACTAGTTAATTAAGAGGTTAACTAGTTAAGTACTTATGTAACTAGTTAACCTATTAATTGGCTAGTTAATTAAGAGGTTAACTAGTTACGTAACTAGTTAACCTCTTAATTAACTAGTTAATAAAGAGGTTAACTAGTTACGTAACTAGTTAACCCGTTATCACTTATTAATTAAGAGGTTAACTAGTTAAGTATTTATGTAACTAGTTAACCTATTAATTAACTAGTTAATTAAGAGGTTACTTAGTTACGTAACTAGTTAACCTCCTAATATTAAGCTGATAAGGGATGGCAGTTGCGGGCACAAACAGGCATTTATTTCCCGTTATGATCTTTTATTTATTGAAAAAATTAACTAGTTACGTAACAAGTTAACCTGATAACTAACTAGTTAATTAAGAGGTTAACTAGTTACGTAACTAGTTAACCTCTTAATTAACTAGTTAATGATCAGGTTACCTGGTGGCAGAAATATGCCACCATAACAGCCGTTTAAACTATATTGTCTTAATTTTTGTTGTCTGCTCTTTTTTGTCTTTGTTTTTTTTGTTGCTGTTGTTTTAGTGATTTGTTGTTTTTTTGTAACCTTTTACGGCGAATATCTTGTAGCTCTGCTTTCTACAAAAGAGGCATCGTAAAGTTTTATTGAGTTTTGTGATAATTGTTTCCGTATTTAATGACAAGACATCTATGTTTTATTCATAAATCATTTTGTAACTTTGCCCATTCGAAGACTTAAAGAAGCCAGCCGAGTAGTGCTGGTCTTAACAATGGCTCATTCTTGGATAATTACAAGGCCTTTTTAAGGTCAGGTACGACATTAACCAGAAATGTTTTATTTCTATTTTTTTCATTTCATTATATTTTTTTGCTACTGATTAGTCGAATCTCAAGGCGGTTTCCCTCCATGTTGCTGTTTATATACCGGTATCTCAATCATAGAATGTTGTTTAATGTTTGTAAAGTATCGCCATCATGGCTGTAGGATTTTGTTTTTAATGTGCTACTTGAGTCAAAAGACCTTTAATTTAATCATTAATTCATGAAATGTTTTATAAACTGTTTTCCATATCTTGACTTAGTTAATTATATTAATTCGTTTTTAAGAAATATTACTTCATTTTTACGAAATATTAATTTGTAATTACGAAATATTATTTCCTAATTACGACATTTAAATTCGTAATTACGAAATATTAATACGTCTTTACGAAATATTAATTCGTTTTTTACGAATTATTTTTTCGTAATTACGAAATATAAATTCGTAATAACGAAATATTAATTCGTTTTAAGCAGAATAATCGAGCTTATGCAGTCACTTATCTGTCGGCGTCGGCGTCCCTGTGGTTAAGTTTTTTTGCGTGTAAGCTGGTATCTCCATAACTGCTGAAGGGAATGGATTGAAACTTCACACACTTGTTCTCTGTGATTATCTAAGATGATTGGCATAAAGTCCTATAACTCTGATTTGCTTTTATACATAATAATTCCCCTTTTTCTACTTAGAAATTCTTGGTTAAGTTTTTGCGTGAAAGCTGGTATCTCCATAACTACTGAAGGGAATGGATTTAACATTCACATACTTTTTCTCTGTGTTCTCTTTGATTATCTAAGATGATTTACACAAGTCCCATAACTTTGATTTGCTTTTTTACATAATAATGCCCCTTTTTCGACTTCGAAATTCTTGGTTAAGTTTTTGGGTGTACGCTGGTATCTCCATAACTACTGAAGGAAATGGATTAAAACTTCAGACACTTGTTCTCTGTGATTATCTAAGATGATTGGCAACAGTCCCATAACTCTGATTTGCCTTTATTGCATAATTATGCCCCTTTTACTTAGAAATTCTTGGTTTAGTTTTTGTGTGTAAGCTGGTATCTCCATAACTACTGAAGGGAATGGATGGAAATTTCACACACTTGTTCTCTGTGATATCTAAAATGATTGGCACAAGTCCCATAACTCTGATTGCTTTTTACATTATTATGCCCCTTTTTCGACTTAGAAATTATTGGTTAAGTTTTTGCGTGTAAGCTGGTATCTCAATAACTACTGAAGGGAATGAATTGAAACTTCACACACTTGTTGTCTGTGATTTTCTAAGATGATTTGCACAAGCCCAATAACTCTGATTTGCTTTTTTGCATAATTATGCCCCTTTTATGACTTAGAAATTCTTGTTTAAGTTTTTGCTTGTAAGCTGATATCTCAAAAACTACGGAAGGGAATGGATTGAAACTTCACACACTTGTTCTCTGTGATTATCTTAGACTATTGACACAAGTCCCATAACTCTGATTTGCTTTTTTGCATAATAATGCCCCTTTTATGACTTAGAATTTCTTGGTTAAGTTTTTGCTTGTAAGCTGGTATCTCCATAACTACTTTAGGGAATGGATTGAATTTCAAATACTTGTTCTCTGTGATTATCTAAGACGAATTCCCATAACTCTGATTGCTTTTTCGATAATTACTCCCCTTTTCCGACTTAGAAATTCTAGGTAATGTTTTGCTTGTAGGCTTGTATCTCCATAACTACTGAAGGTTTTGTACCTTTTCGGACAAATTTATGTATTCATATAGGTAAGCATTATTATACTCAATGAAACACGCTTGTGACAACTTTTCGAATAGTCGAGCGTTACTGCCCTCCGACAGTTCTTGTTACGAAATATTATTTCGTAATTATGAAATATTATTTCGTAAAAACGAAATGTTAGTTCGTAATTACGAAATAATAATTCGTAAATACGAAATAATATTTCGTAAAAACGAATTAAATTTATTTTAGGGTTTCAACGAGTTTTGTAATAGTTATAAAAGGCCTCGAAACAAAGTTCCTGACTGAATAAAAGGCATGTAAATGTAATATAAATAGTAATTTTTTTCTCCCCAAATTTTATAACTGAACATTATTGTATATACATTAAAATAATTGCCTGGCAATAGCGTTGCCGCCACAGTCGTGATAGTACACGCGCTAGGTAAATTTTATTAGAATGGGGGTCCTGTGCTTCAAATCCAAACACGGACATTTTTTTTCTGTTTCGTTTTGTCGAAATTATTGAGTTTTGAAATAAAATGTTTTCTTTTTTATGATCGCAAGTTGCCCATACATAAATTGTAAGGAAATATACTTTTTTAAATTGATTAGATTAGTGAAAGTCTGGAGCCCCCTCGTCCCTTTAGTTTTACTAATTTATATGAAAGTAATAATAAAGCATGTTTCTTTTTAAAAAACCCTGTTCACTTGAATATAAAAAAAACTTGAGAACCATTCGGCATATAATTGCAAGGTTGATCCGGACTTGTAAATGATCCCTTTGTGAGATTACCAGGTTCTTTGTCAAGCTCACAATGACCTTGAATAAGATTTCGTAAAAACGAATTAATATTTTGTAATTACGAATTCATATTTCGTAAAAACGAATTATTATTTCGTTGAAACGAATAAATATTTCGTAATTACGAATTAACATTTCGTAATTACGAATAAATATTTCGTAAAAAACGAATAAATATTTCGTAAAAACGAATTAATATCTCGTTATAACGAAATAATATTTCGTAAAAACGTATTATCATTTCTTAAAAACCAATAAATATTTCGTAATTGCGAATTAATATTTCGTAAAAACGATTAATTGCCGGGAAAAAGTGTCGAAAATGTCACCTTAGGGGTTCCGTAAAATACAATTTTGTTTACATTTTAATACATTTATGAAAAATAATTTCATATAAAGCGCTTTCTTTCCAGGTAACAAGTGTCTAGCATGCTATATAACCATTACTTATAAATAAAAAAAAATCAAATTTACCCTTGTGACTGGATTGATAATTGACTAGTGAAGAACTTGTCCCGCTGACTCATTTCTTTAGCACTTGTCTCGTGAATAGATATACCTCCAGTTTGAAAGCCTAGGGTTAATGGAATTATATATCTTTATAATTTATAAGAAACTATTAACAAGTAGCAAATGAATAGTTAAATCACATATAGATTACTTTTTGAGTTATTTATATGTGTATTACTAAACATGTTTGATTTTGTCTGTATCTATGGCTGAATGATTTTGGTTTTAATTTGCTACCAAAATCAAAAGACCTTGAATTTTATTATCAATTTATGAAGCGTCATTGCAATCACGAGTTATAATATTCTGTGTAAATTCTATTTTTTTTTTCATTCTTCCATTAAGATAATATATTTTAGTTTAATGTTTCTATTTAGATACTGAGATTGTAGAAACCATGTAAGATAACTATTGAAATGAGTTTTCGTTTCAATTTATCCAACAAGTAAGAACAAAATGGTTTTAATTAGTCATACCTCTTTGATACATATTTAATGTCGAAAGAATTTCCTATTAATTACAGGTATTACAAGCACGGGGGAGGAAGTGTTACACGAAGGATGGAGTTCTTATGATAACTAGTTCAGGAGTTCTTGTGATAACTGTCACGGAGTTCGTCGGAAAACATCTGTATATACTACGAAAACACTCGTTAAAAATGGTTATTTTCATCGTTCAAAAATATGTTTTAGGTGCTAAATTAAACTTTAATGATTAAGCTTGTCTTACATCTTGTATTATGTGTCAAAAACTAATTCACGGGCCATTTTTCATTGCCTCTTGCTTCAAATCTGGTAGTTTTAAGTAAAATTTCCAAATTACTTGCCAATTCACAAGTTTTGACCGGTTTATTTTTGGTATTCATCCTTGCCATACATAATTATCTAATTATAATGCAAAATTGCAAACATAAGGCATAAAGTTCCGGAGTTCTTGTGATCACTCTGAAGATGTCACAGAGTTCTTATGATAACTTTTGTTATTGCCCGTGTGTTTCTTGAGCTAAATCACGGCACGTTTTAGCGTTTATTATTATTCAATAAGATTGTAAATCATTATGAAATGCAGTACGATCTTCCTTTGCACAAACATGTGGATAAAACGTTGGTCTTAAGTGTCTGCAAAGGATAAAAAGGTGATAGGCTATCATCTACATTAAAAATAGAACCAGCGGCCACTGATATTCAGCAGTATAATGGCCTAAACCACAAAACAAAAATGTCTCAAAACGTACATGTTGTTCTGAGTTTCACATGTCTTAAGATACCACCTTTCTAAAGCTTTCAATAAATAGGCATGCTTCCCTTACCTAAGGGCTAAGTAATTTGTATCATTAAATACCATAATAAATAAGTATATAACCAGGATAATTTCCACACCTATGGCTTAAAAAGTACGATACATGATAAAAACTCAACTGCGGTTAGCTCTAACTACCGATCTCTTGAACAAATTTGAACTGTCCCTCCAGGTTCGAGCTAACAAAGTATTATATATTTTTGTTATCAATTACAGCAAAAGTAGCAGAGTTTCCTCCACTAAGATTACAAAGGGGAAATACTCATCAAACATCGACTGAAAAAAATGTACATGAAAATACCATATTTGAGTATTTCAAAGCGCATTTTATCACGTACATAATGCCCTACTTGTTTCATAGCAGTTCCCGGTCCCAAATCGCACTTTTTAACAAATAAGATAAAAATCTGTCTACCGAAGAGTGCAAACTTTGACAGAACAAAGTTAGGTACCTGTCCAGCATTACCTATTTTAATGTTGCTCTTTAATTTTACATTTTAATGGAATAAAGGCCTGAGATATATAACACCTTTGCTCACATTTATTCAAAATCTATTAGCAGTTTTCGGACCTTTTTTATTTTGAATATAATTCAGTACCAATAAGCAATGTTAAGCTGGGTTTTTCAAATAGACATAACTTCCCAAACTTTTCCGTGTCATCTTCAAATATATTGTTTAAAAGTAGTGTTTTACCTAGAATTAGATTTCAGTTATTGTGCATGGGCATTCGAACTAGAATTCCCCAGGTGTTGCTTGTAAGTGTCGCAAGTTCTCTAATGTAACTTAAAACAACAGACAAAACTTTGAAACATATTAATCGCTGTACTATTATAAATGCTGTATTACATAGAAAACAATTTTTTCTCTGGTTGATGAAGTAACATAGATGCTTAACTGTGAAAAAATAGACTGTATGCCCGGATGAAAATGATAAAAGACCAGAATACTGCTAGGAGCCGGGAAACTGCTAGGAAACCAGTACATAAATCCTTTTTCCAGTCTACGAAATATGTGACAAACAAAAACAATACTATGAAAAGAAAACGGGGGTAAGAAATAATATCTTATGAAAACTAAAAATTCACTCAAAACCAACATTATATATCCTATTTTTTGCGCAAAGGTTGCGTACTACATTTCATAATGATTTACAATCTCATTGAATAATAAAAAACGCTAAAACGTGCCGTGATTTAGCTCAAGAAACACACTGGCAATAACAAAAGTTATCATAAGAAACTCTGTGACATCTTCAGAAATTATCACGAGAACTCCGGAACATTTGAAAAAATCGGGTATAAATCTGTTAGCCGTGCTTTATGTTTGCAATTTTGCATTATAATTAGGTAATTATGTATGGCAAGGATGAATACCAGAAATAAACCGGTCAAAACTTGTGAATTAGCAAGTAATTTGGAAATTTTACTCAAAACTACCAGATTTGAAGCAAGAGTCGATAAAAAATGGCATGTGAATTAGTTTTTGACACATAATACAAGATGTAAGACAAGCTTAATCAGTAAAGTTTAATTTAGCACCTAAACTCATTTTTGAACGATGAAAATAACCATTTTTGACGAGTAAATTTGTAGTATATACAGATGTTTTCCGACGAACTCCGTGACAGTTATCACAAGAACTCCTGAACAAGTTATCATAAGAACTCCATCCTTCGTGTAACACTTCCTCCCCCGTGACAAGTATATTACAAAAAAAGTCAAGTGGTAGATTATTTTTTCGATGCTTATATATTTTCAAAATCAAAAGAGGGTGGTGTTAATGGTTTATTCTTCGGTTTAAATCGGCATTTTAGAGAATGAGCAAATATTGGTCGGCAGCGTACGAATCGTCGTGCGAACTAATACTAGTACCACTTCGATGTTATTCCGAAGTTTTCAGTATAGAAACGAAATCTTTTTGTTTATAATATATTTTGTGACACATTCGTTTGCATTTTCTGTATGCAGCCGATAAGTTGCTGACAAAAACTTCGTAAGAAAAACGTTTTTTTTTTTGTTATTATACCTGTAAGCTTCGCTGAATTTGACTGAGTCTACTATACTTGTTATTGGTTGTCAGGGTAACTCAAGGCAAGTTATCATTGACAAATATATTGTCTGATGTACTTACATGTACAGATTGAATACATTTGTTTTGACAAAATTAAAAACTTGACAACGAAATTAATATGAATTCATAAAGAAAAACTGTTGTTGTTGGTTTTTTTATACTTAAGTTGGAATTCAAATATGACTAAGATGCACTTATTGTTTTTTTTTTCAGAAGTTATTTCGCTTGACTCCTTGGTCACAAAATAGTGGAAATCTGCCTAGAATGTATACGCAAGACTAGTGACTTGAAACCATTAAAATGAGCAGATCGTATATTTTGTGTATTGGATCGATTGTTTGCTTGACGAACCATAAAACTTTGCACATATATATGAACACTGTTCGTGGGGGCTGTCAGACTGTGTCGAGGACTTAAATCATCACGATGTTAAAGTTCTTGGTGGTATGTCTGTGTGCCATTGCTGTTGCAAAATGGAGCCAAAACGGTAAAATTAATTTTTTCATTTTATTTGTTACAAATGATGTCGTAATCAATATAAAGGTTTTCATATTTACAATGTCAAGTGAACAACATTGTTTTTGAAATTACAATTTCTGTTAATACCTGTGTTGTTTTTTGTTCATGCAATGCAAAAATGAAAATAATTATTTTGATCTTTCTGCCGGTGACAGTAGATTTGCTACACTCTTTTTGTGGTAATAATTTGGAAAAAAATGATATACACAATCGGTACATTGTAAATTAGTGTTATGATTTTTTGTCGTTTTCAAAACTAACTTTATCTAACTGATGTTGTCTTACTTTTGTGTCATGATTAATTTATGTCAATTATATCAGAAGAATATCTTCACCCGGTATAGAAAAACTTTATCTGAAATTGATATAAATCTTGATGGAATGTTTATATGATAAATACATATTCCTACTCTGATACCTGTTAAAGCAACATGCCTCATGAATCATGCAATATTTCATGAAAATTTTAAAGAAAAAAAGTAAAATATTATGAAGTGAACAAAATAAGTAGTTAAACACTGCAAACGGTACTTACCAAATAAAGATAACAATCTTTACTGCGTTAGTCACGCAGTAGATATATGGTGCTGAATACTGCAAAATCAGTAACTGATCGAACAAAACATGTGTATTATGACTTTAATATTAAGTATTAAACATGTGTATTAATACTTATTATAAAGAATTTTTACTGCTCATTTCTAAAAATAACACTAGGTTGCTCTGAAGTTTGATTTTCTTGAACTATTTTGGCTCATCTGGTGACATGCAGTTTTAGGGCACGCAGTTTAAATTTATATTCTACAACGAAATGCGACAACCGTAGAACGAAACAGACCTAACTTACCAAAAGTCAACGATGAAATAGCGGACGTCACTTTACGGCCGCCACACTGCCCTTAATGTCAATAGTTTCCGATATTTGAATCAGAAAATAAGGACAGCTGTTGCATTGTGGGGTTGAATCATCTTAACAATATGCTTAAAAAGAAAAACAAACCTATTTTTATTTTTCTCACAGTCCAAGCTGACAGTGACGTAAACGACTTGAATGATGAAGAAAAAAGGTTGTTACAGACCTTAGAGGAAGCGATAGACACAGTAAGAATGGGCGACAATTTTCTTTCCAGTTTAATATTTGCTCAAACAATTTTAAACATGTTTTAGCATTGACCTTCTTAGTGTTTAATTGGCAATTATAGCCAATATATCTCAAATTTATTTACTACTGTAGTTCCTTATTTTTCTTGTATTAGCGACATGTGGATAAAAGTAAACTTATGTTTAAATCTCATTCGAGACCTACTGATTTCAGTTTCAAATTTACAGATACATATACTGTTCTAAATAGATTAAACAAGATATGTTTTGTGGTTGTATGAGAACTGTTTTCACTTATTATATTTCTAGAACAAGAGAGACACGAACGACCCGTGCTCCGAGGAATGTGGCGAGGATGACGGATGTTACGAATCATGCACGTGCTTCTACGACTGTATGGCTGATATTGACGATGAACAAACGTGTGAAGACGGTTGCAGTGATAATGATGTCAAAAAGGTAGTATTATAAGCTACCGATATGCAATATACCTCATCAAAATATGTGCTTATCTATACCTGATTCATTTCGCTCAATCAACAAATATTTTACTTAAGCAGTTGAGCATGTCATTTTCTCAGTGAGATTTTTCTTCCCTTTTCAAAAAAACAATAAGAAAATAAATAAATGAATAAATAAATAAATTATTAATTAAATAAAATCTAAATAAATAAATAAATAAATGAATTAATGAATAAAAAAGGAAATCTTCCAAAAATGCAGTTAAATTATTTGACTTAAGTGAAATGGACTAAGATTAAGCTATAGATTCTGTGAAACTGACATGTCAAAATGTTTTGATTATGAATTCGAAAAAGAAAATTGGGATTGAAAAAAAACAGTCTAAGGTTTCTAAAATGTATACATTAACACAATAAGGTCTGCATTTTCATACTTAAGAATACAGACCAACTTGATAAGTGATAATTTATTTTAATATGATCTTTTGAGTTAGATTTATCACTGAAAGTGAAGAGAGCCGTGCACTTGAAAAAAAATGGGTTTAATTCAGTGTTATATCAAAAGCGGTGCTGAAAACATCATCTCTTTTGAGAAAAAAAAAATAAATATCATTTTATCATTGACCGATTCTACATTCACGATTTAAAGTTCATACTTATCACCGATGATGAATATAAGTTTTCTTTGATTATTTTCATCCGTTTTTGTTTTGAAGTGTCATAATTCCGCTATTTAAGAGAATGGCATTAGCAGCTAGGAACCAGGAGAGAGCAAAGTAAGTGAATAAGTAAATCATTTTGTTGATTATTGTTGATTTTTATCGTAGATCATGAACAGCATACACTCATTCGTTTAAGGTATATGTGGTGGTTCAATTTGAACAAATACGTTCAGGTGGATGGATATTGACAGACGGACTGTAAGTGGTGGTACCGACTATGTGTTCGGGGGAAAGAATAAGGACAGTAGAAGCATTTTTGTTTGGAAAGGGATTCTTGTTCAGGTTTCAAGGCTGTAGAGAGAAAGTTTAATCGGTTATAAAGAATGATTATATTATTACGACTTTTCGATTGTAAGAAAGGATTTGAGCGGAGATGAATAACGGGGTTGAGGGGTGTTAGTAAAGTGGCGATTGAATCTTTGTTACAATGAGTGAATGGGAGGGGCTACTTATACTGTAAGAGATATAGAGCTGCTTGTGCATTTGCATAAGAAGAGCCTGCGTGTTGAGTAGGGTAGAATACTGTGAAGGATGTAGATGGTACGATTTTGAAGAATGAAGTTAATGGAGGCAGTAAGATGCAGATATTTCGTTGGTTATAAGGGTGAATAGTGCAAGTGTGTAAAGAAGGTTGTAGACAAGAAAGGGAGGGGGTTAGGGTTCAGATATATGCGTAAGAGTGAATGCAATTACAAGGTCATAATACGAGGAATTGCTTATCTAATGCGACAGAGACGATGATTATTGGGCAGGGGTTCGTTGATGTTGAAAGGTTTCAGGGCGAAATGCGGTGCGGATGTATTCGGGGTTTCAGATTTTTATATTTAGCTATGTGTAATTAACCTTTATTTCTTAATATTAGTTTTATACTTTTTTCACCCAAGACGCCTCAAATCGTATGTATATGTCAAAGAACCTTCTTGTAGATCATATCGTAATGTCCAAACCATATCATTTATAGATGGTTGACTTGATTAAGATTAAACATGTTCATCTTTTCCGTTATAAGGTAAAATGTAGTGTGCAGAACATATAAATAATTAAATATTAGAATATAAGTAAAATATCGGAAATATCTAGTAACATATGTTGTTCACTGTAAAATATTGGATAGATACTGTCTCTTTGAATGTCTTTCAATTCTGCTTAACAGAATCAGTTTTAGGAACAATTTGTTTTTATAATTTATTCATTCGTTTTATTTTATTTTGTTTTGAGTTTGAATATTCATTCACTGCATTTCAGCGATGAAATACAAAACAACAACAAAAATAAACAACAAAAGAAAATATGGGGTATTCCATCTGCAAGAAGATGGGTTCCACCAGTTCCCCCAGTTAGAAGATGGGTTCCACCAGTTCCCCCAGTTAGAAGATGGGTTCCACCAGTTACCCCAGTTCCTCCTGTAAGAAGATGGGTTCCACCAGTTAGAAGATGGGGGGGTAGTGGAAAGAAATAGATTGAACAATACTAACAAAGAAATGCCACAAACAACATTATTACTCGAATAAACTCCTCTTTGAAATATATAAACTGACATAAAACATTTAGCTTGATGAATAAAAAGATTTGACAATGACGAAGCTCGACGAAGTGCTAATGTGTGAAACACCTGACTGAAACTCTTTAAGCTTTTAACTATAAAGTCTAAATTGAATAACTTACAATCAATTGCCCCGTTTCTTTTACATTTAGCACAATTATGTAAACATGTTAAAATATAATATGAATAATTTGTTTGTAAACACATCACTTGCATATTTTGAATAGTAAATATTTTTGTCAGCACCATCACAATACGTTTTTTTGTGATATAGAATAGTTGTTAAAATAAATCTGAACAATCTGAATGAAGGGAAATGAAAGATTCTTTAGATCCTTCGAGAGCAGTAAAAAATAAAATAAAATTAATTGGTGACTATTTGTTGATTTAGTCTTTTTATGTGAGAAAAAAATAGCACCCAAACAACGGCAAAAGTACAGTCAAACCTCAGTTAAAGACCACCCCTAAAAAAGATCACCATGTTAAAAAGACCCCTCGTTGACTTAAGTTCATTGATAAAAATACAGCAGAGTAAACTTCAACATGTCTATAAAGGTCATATATTGTCTCTCCCAAGGATGACCTTCATTCACAGGTTTGATGGTAGTGGTTAATATTAACACAATAAAGTGTCACACTTCATATTCGTTCCGACTATAAATACCAATCAGTCGACAATTACTTGTTGTATATTGAAACAACCTTGAATTCGATAACAAGTATTTACATTTTATTTTATTTCTTTCCCTTTTGCGTTGTATGTGTTATAATTTTGTGTTATTGTTGTCTTTGATTTTTGTAAAATAGATGTTAGATAGTTGTTTCGTTTATCCATTTCTGTTTGCAACGTTACAATTACTTTCAACAACATCTTCTTAAATGTGTTAAGAAATGCTTACGTCTTTAACCACTGTTCGGGTTTTGATGACACTGAACAGAAATGATCTTAAGATGCCATTTAAATTTTTTGAAACATAAAATGCTCATATTGTTCCGGAACGCTGACCAAAACGGTAACAAACACTTAAAATAGAAAAGCCTTATGACATATTTTGCTAGATTTTTATAAAGCGGCAGCAATGATCTTTTTAACAAGTCCTTTACAAAAAAACTCAGATAGTTTCTGGCAACAAAAGTTAAAATACAATTTAGCTTCAAATGACTTTTCCTCGTGAGTAACTTGGTCAAAAATAATAAAATTGCTTACGTAATTTCGGTCCGCTTTACAAAATAGACACAAAAGCTAGAAATAAAGCCTTTCAAAGACATTTTCCTCACAGTCGCTTTACCAATAACTATTCAACTGTATTTCCTTCCGCTTATGGTCTTTTCAAGAATCTAAGATATTAATATCTTCTTCACCATATGTAAATTATTATGATATTATTAAGTAAGCACAAAAGGCACCACAAACGATCATTTCCTTAATAAGAATGCAAAAGTGAGACATACCCGTGTAATTAAATAACATTTAAGGCCTTTGTTCCTTTTTGTTTTGGTATCTTGTTACAGTTTTGAAAGTTATACTCATTTGCCATGTACATGGACTCTCTTTTGCAACAATAGCTCTGTTGGTATTATTGTAGAAAATTAGTATTTTGACTGGAAATTTAAGTACTCATTTAACATCTTATGTGCCCTAAAATCATTATTTTAACACTTTTCAACACAAATCTGATTAAGATAAGCTCTAAATAACGATCCGCTTTTGGATCTGACCGTGACCAAATAGGAAATCATATCTGGTGACATTTCAAACAGCCAATCATCAACGAGCTTTTATAATTTTGAAAGCGAAGTGGTTTCTAATTAACCCTGAGAAAGCAATTCTGGGTAGGTAATTTTCACGATTTCTAGAACAAAGATGGCGTTGTCCATATAGGCGACAAGAAAACTTGCAAAATCTTCCCGATTAAAAATTAACTCTTATTTATTCAGGGTAATTTGTTTAAAATGACTTTAAACATTTTTTTCACCTAACAAAATCAACAATTTGTTAAACTTCTACGGATAACGGTTTTTTGATACTCTTCTAATGCCTTTGATTGCATGGCTGAAAATAGCTTTTTCGGGAAATCCGATTTTTAAACTTAAGAAGGCGAAACATATACGGTGATGAAAAGCTTCATCTGAACTTAAGTTAGATTTTATTCAACACAGATTTGCCTTTTTTAACAAATTAAAAAAATTGATTTCCTATATAAAATGTGCCTATAAATACTGGTTTGAGAGCATGTTTGATGCTATTCACCTTAAGAACTTTAAGAAAGAAGCGTCGGATGTGATATAATCTGAAAATTAAAGAAGAAATTTTTAAAATGTAAACAAAGTACTATGTAATGTACTTTGCCTATCATTCAGAATCACAATGAATTTACTAGTTTAAGGTCTTCCGCGTACCCGTTTATATACTTTGACATGACGTGAACCCTGAAGACAGACCCGTAGGGAAAGTCGAACAATTATTGTCAGGAATCTGACACGCTCGTATTCATTCATTGAACATGCCATGAAGTAAAGTGAAGCATACCTTGATAACACTATATATTATCTGTTGATAAGCCAAGGATGGACAAATATAAATCTGAGTATGAACATAAACTACCTTATAGATTCAGACAGGTAAAAAATCAGAACTTGGCCGCCATGTTGCCAAAATGCTTGATCACGTGATTACAAGATTGACCTTTATAAAACCCATTTTCTTCCAACATTTTTATAAATGACATTTTTAAAGATATTGAAAAAGGTGATTTACTGAATAATCATATTTAAGTACTAAAACATTAATGAAAATAAATAAAAACATTATTTTGAATTATAGATATTAAAATCATGTCAACAAAGATGTTTTAATATAGTACACGACAAATACAAAACAAACTACCAAAGAAATATAGATTGATGTTGTTGGAAAGTGTGAGATACATGATCCAATATGTACAATAAAACAAATATCTATAAAGCAGATAATACAATATTCTACGAGAAAATATTATTCTTAGGCGCTTTTAACAACATGACTTTTCCAAATAATATCATAAGAATATCCAAATGATAAATTTGTTTGTTACAGTCATTATGATACATTTCAAATATTCTATCAATACTTGAATTAATGGAAATTGTGCTTACTATAAACCAATCTACTACATGTACTATAATCAATCTCTTGAATGTATGTTTTTCATAAGGTACCTTTTTCGGAGGTTGCATATTGCATAATATCAATACTTACGAATTTATAAGCTGTTGTACTCTATCTCTTTTTTGACAAATCAATTAATAGTATCCAATAACAATGTTACAGAATCTCCAGAAAAAATAGTTTGTCTTGAAATATTTTTGAAACCATGATGTCCAATAGTACACCGGAAGTAAGCAGCCCTTTTTGAGTAAAGATATGGATGTATTCAAAACATAATCACAAAGTATTGAAGCTTTCCGAATGTATTTTATGACATGCGTACAGTCAAATCTTGGAACAAAATTCACCGTCAGGAGAGACCAAACATGACCTTTATAGAGAAGTGGACTTAATGTTATGGTAACTGTGTTCTATAAAAACTGCTGAAAACTAAAACTGCTGAAAACTAAAACTGCTAAAAACTAAACCTTTGATTTATGTTTAAAGAATATTTAAGAGGTAGACAGGTTCATGTTAATTTTATTTAATAATACTTTTATATCGTGCACATGTGTGACATTGGAAAATCACTTGATTGAACAAATGCGCCATCATGCATCTGTTACAAATATAATATGAAGAATGATGCAGCTGTAGATAAAGATATACCAAACACATAATATCTGATTGTATCTCGAGCAATTTTCATCTATCCAGTTAATTTATTCAGTTTATTAAAACATTACTTTCATATTTTATGAGGTATGGTTATGTGCAATTTAAACACTTGAACACATTTATGTTGTCATTATTGTTTGTCCTTGAAGAAATGTACTTGCAAATGCACTTATAACAGTTGAATATAATTTATATAATTTATACATTTTGTAATTACCATCTAGTTAAATTTTGTAGACAGTGATAAAACGCAAAATGTGAACATTTCGCACGCTTTTTAATTGGTTCAATAATTCACTTAATATTGATAGCACCAACATAACTACCATATGTTTTCTCCAAATCCCCCCCCCCCCAGAGTCGTGCACGTCGCGGATAAGGCACACGGCAGGTCAAGGTCAAGGAATGTCAAGTACCGGAGATGATTGGTTGACCTGCCGTGACTAACTCTGGAGGGTGGCGCTAATATGGGTCGTTTTTGTTAGATGTGCCATCGGAAAGCTGATGACTTGGACAATATTGGCGTTTCCGTAATACACCAATGAGCGAAGAACAGGTTCCAGGAAGGTTCTGTAAGAAAATACGTCCCCGATGTGACTACAACAGTGAACCGGCATGAGCACTAATAAATCTCAGACATAATTATGGATATTCCGGGGCCGAGTACAAACAAACCATAAACACGCATTATCCTGTGGTCTATACGTATAATTCAAAGTTATTATCTTTCATACAATCATATAATTCAATGTGATTATCTTCTTTCAAAAGTACACTTCTTTGCATCACTTTTTTATATTTTCAACTTCTGATTTGTTTGTTATATGTAACACAACTCGCGTTCCAATAATAATAATAATAATAATAATAATAATAATAATAATAATTTCAATGAAAGCCAAACGCGATTTGACCTCTGACCTTAATTTACGACAAAGACCTCAAAGATACGGACTGATATCCTGCGTGCAACCTTAAAACCTTAAAATTCGACCTTGATCTCAAAGATACGTACTGGTACTGATATCCTGCGTGCTACCTCAACAAACAACGACAATGACCTCAAAGATACGGACGGATATCCTGCGTGCAACCTCAAACTACGACAGTGACTTCAAAGATACCGGCTGATATCTTAGGTGCAAACCTAAACTATGACCTTGATCTAAAAGATACGTACTGATATTCTGCGTACATCCTCAGTCTACGACATTGACCTCAAAGACACGTACGGATATCCTGAGTGCAACCTCAAACTATGACATTGACCTTAAAATTAAGCTGATGTCTCGCATGCAACACGTTGTCTTTTTGTAGTGATAACATATTTTTTCGACCATCCGTCAAGTAAAGACAAAATGGTTGGACAAATATTTGCCATTTAGCTCTTCTATATAGGTATTGCACCTAACACATCATTTGATTGAACTGAATGCATATGCCGAATTTTTGAACAATCTAATAATGGCAAATTCATAAGCTAGAAACATTTTTACTTTGGCCATGAAGTACGAACTTGAACTTTAAGTTCGGACGTAAGATCAACGTGCAACACATTTTCTGACAATCA